CCCGCACGCAGCGGGGCGCACGAAGCCCCGAGCCGCGCCCGCAGCCACCGGGCAGCGCGGAGCCGCACGCGGCGCTCCCCGCACGCACGCCGTACAAAGGGCCGGCCCGGAGCCCCGCGAGGCTCCCACGCAGCCAGAGAAAAGAAACGAGCGATCGTTAAACCGAGCGATGATCACAGCCCGGAGGACCGGGGCCGTCCCGCCCGCTCACCTGTGGGAGTAACGCGGTCGGTCAGAGCCGGGGCGGGCGGCGCGAGGCGGCGGCGGAGCGGGGCACGGGGCGAAGGCAGCGCGCAGCGACTCCCGCCCGCCGCGCGCTCCGCCTTTTATAGGGCCGCCGCCGCCGCCGCCTCGCCATAAAAGGAAACTTTCGGAGCGCGCCGCTCTGATTGGCTGCAGCCGCACCTCTCCGCCTCGCCCCGCCCCGCCCCTCGCCCCGCCCCGCCCCGCCTGGCGCGCGCCCCCCCACGCCTCCCGCCCCCATCGCTGCACAAAATAATTAAAAAATAAATAAATACAAAATTGGGGGTGGGGGGGAAGGGGGGAGATGGGGAGAGTGAAGCAAAACGCGGGGGCTCGGCACGAGGTGAGGGTGTGGGGCGGGGGTGCGACGTGCCCCTCCATCCCCCCCCCTTTTTGATTCCGTAGCGCTTTGTTGGGGAGGGGGAGCGGGGTCCGCGTGTGCAGCCCTGCCCCCATCCCGAGGTGGTCCTGCGGTCCCCTTGAAGTCACCTCCCGGGGAGCGCCAGCGCCAGCGATGGGCGATGAGCGTGCTTGCACCGAGCCGCAGCGACACTGATGTGCGTGCACACACCGAGCAGCGATAGCACCAGTGTGCGTGCACCGAGCTGCCGTGATACAATGAGTGTGCGTGCACCGAGCAGCAGCAGCTCCAGTGTGAGTGCGTGCACCGGGATGAAGTGATAGAACGAGCGTGCACGCACAAAGCAGCAATAACACTGAGGGGTGTGCGTGCGCTGGGCTGCTACAGCACCAAGGAACGTGCATGCACAGTGCTGCAACAACATCGAGGAGCGTGCATGCACCGAGCAGCAATAACGCCAGCAGCATGCATGCACG